TTATTATTATTATTATTATTATTATTATTATTATTATTATTATTATTATCATCATCATCATCATCAAAAATATGCTTCGTATGAACTCTTAAAAATACTTTTAATATGCTTATTTTTCGATGCAGGGCAAGAAAATTACTTTTAATTTTTATTTCGGAACTCAAGATTTTTTCGAGAAAACAAAAGTGTTCGATAAAAAAGAGCTTCATATTCGCATTTACAAAATACTTAAACGTTAATTTCTTAAAAACGGCAAAAAATGTCTTAAATGACGAGGTTTTACTCTTCTATAACATTCTCAGAGTAATATTTCGTTTCTACCATAATGAAACCGAATATTGGAGAAAATTTAAAAAAAAATATATTTTGGGCGGCGATAGATTGCAACTGGCAAGTGGATGGGACAAATCCGAAACGCTAGCCCAGACCACAGAAATTAGAAATCTAACTAGTACGAGAAAGTCGATGCCATTCTGTATCGCTACTAGCTTTTTTTTATGATGCCAACATGGACTGCCACGGGGGTGGGGGTCAGCCACCTGTTGAAGCTGAGGTCGAGCTTGCGTAGCGTCTTGTTTTTGACGATGAGCAGTCGCAGGGGGCGCATCACCTCCATGCTGAGCGCGTTGCCAGCCAACACCAGCTTCTCCAGAATCTGGTTTTTCACGAGTCCATCCGCCAACTTACGGAAGCCTGCAACACAACGCGCTCTCGTCCTTTCGTACACTGCATTCACAGCCTGTACTTTAACATGTACTACAGCTTCTGAATGACTCCCATCTCGATGAGACTTTTCGCTCAGTTTCTCTGATCCATCGAGCAAATGATGAGGTTGCCCCTTGTTTTGCTTCTGGACATGAAAGTCGCACGTTATGTTGAGCTCTCAACTCGCTACTTGTGGAGGAGTAGAACCGAGGATGTGGGTTACTATTTTGCTAGCAGTACTAAAAAAAATATGTAGCTTGTTTACTGATGCACATACGTTTTGTATTAGTCCGGAGAAAAACTGTCTAGTTTTTAAATATTGCTAATTTCGTTTTGTTGGTACTTCATTCATCATTCAACTACGTACGAATAAAGTAAAATGGTGAGTAAAAGATTCTGGAGCTCAAGAAAACGTATATACTTCTCCCCTATAAGTCGCTTACACATTAGTTATTGTTTTTTGACTAAAATAAATCGATTCAATCAAAATCAAACTTTTATCTGCTTATATGCATACTTTTCATGTCATTTAATGTCCGAAAAAGTAACCAACTGTAGAGTCCCGGGAACTACAGTATGGCAAAAACACTCATATTTTAAGGACACCCGAATCACATCAGGTGATAGAAAAGGAAACCGGTAGGATATGGTAGATACCGACCTAGCTGCGCAGATACTGAAGTTAAATTTACTTTACAGCAGCAATGTATTGATCACGGCATTTTCTCAATGAATCAAGATAATCGGGGAAAAAATTCTTATGGGAATGGGGAAAAATGACTTAGAAGCTGATTTCAATAATTCTCGCAGGTGTATTTAGTACTTGCGTACGTTTTCGTAATCGCTGTTCTTACACATATGTGTATATTTTCTTAAAGATCATATTACAGGCTACGTACTAAATTGGTGCTTTCTACTGTAGAGCATTACTACTGTAATCTTTTTTTGTTCTGTGCCGTTGTTAAAGACTGTTCGTTTGTTTTATTGAATCTAAGAGAGGCTGCACAGGGTAACGGTCGTCATTTTTGTCAGATTCTAAAACAACTGACAATCGAAAGAATCATAACACACCTCCAAGAATATTTTCCTCTATCTTATGTGCTGCATTTTGTCGGTTTATGCAGAAATTAGAAGACATTTTCAACAATGATTCTGTTAATTTCAAAATCTTTGCTAAAGAATATCGTAACTGATACATATCATTTCTAAATGCAGATAAAGATTCGTGTGTTTGACATAACATGACAGTACTATTTGATACTGTAAGTTGATGCTACATAGCGAAGGGAGTTCAAAACACTCGGATAAACCCTGCATAAACTAAATCAATAGAGATATTCTGTCAGTGTTAAAACCAAATTGCCCCTGAGGATCATCCCAAGACAGCATACAAGGAAAATCTGTAGATAATACGAAAGTAAGTGCTGGGTTGTTTAATGCGCGATTAAAAAAACTCACATTTTATGACAGTCTATTTGAATTAAAATATTAATCTTATTGACCTCACTTTATTTCACAATATTCTTTTTACCAAATAATTAGAAATATAATGAATAAAATAATATTTAATTTTATCAAATTATTGTCTAATTATTTGGGAATCTTAACAATGGAAAGTGAATCTAAAGGCAGTGCGAGAGCGAGCACGTAAGGAAGCACCCGAAAGAAAAATGTGATGTACATATACGACAGCACGAGGTCAAAATAATATAACAGCATACGTGAGAAGTGTGACATCACGAGAACAAAATAAAACACCAACATACAGGGGAACTGATATGACAGCACGAGAACAATAGATATTAAAGTAATGTAACCGATAATCAGCAAATAACGAACACAGTCTGTTCATTGTTATTGGTCATATGTCGTTCAATCCTATTCGCAACACAATCTTCTTATAAGAAAAATCATCTAGTTAACAAGAAATATAATTTCTTGCGATAAGTCGTCTTTACCAAAACGTATTATTTTATCTTAACTAACAAGGGACTGTTAAATTCTACAACGGACTCCAACCTTTAAGAGTTGGTTTCCTTCCTTTATTTCTTGGCGTTATTCCCTGACTTAAACATTGTGTCACCACGGAGGTGGAAGGAGAAGAGGACTTTGCCATTAAATCGGGAGCTTCAAACCAAACATTTAAATCGTAACGAAGATCCCTATTGAATGACAGCGTCCTTCCCTTTGAAGATCGGCTGTGTTTAAATCGGAGTATAATAAAACAGAACAGTATGGCGTAAAATGACACCCGTGGCTGCACTGACTGTCTTTGTCGAAGAGCGCGTTCCAGGAGAGGTCGAGCGTGCGCAGCGTCCAGTTGTCCTCGATGACGGCGCCCAGGGCGACGGCGGCGCGCCGGCCCAGCCCGTTGCGGCTCAGGTCCAGCTTCTCGATGGACATGTTCTCGGCGACGCCCATGGCCACCCCCGCGGCGCCGCGCTCGCCGATCGCGTTGCTCGCCAGCAGCAGCTTGCGCAGGCTCCGCGAGCTCGCCATCAGCTCCCCGATCTTCCACGCGCTCTCCGGGCCCAGCCTCAACACACCGGGCGTTCATCGCCGACTGCCCGCCATTGATCGATTCATTGGTTGGTTGGTTAGTGATTCCTGGCGCGTCAAGTTCTAAGATCGTTTGTCCCGTAATTTCAGTGCATGTTTTATCTTCCCCCGATGGATGGTGAGATTCGGCGCCAACCCACCCGTCCGATAGCGGGATTTTTCCCAACTAGGTATCTCCCTCCAGCGGGGCAGCGCAGCAGTCGGGACAAACTCTAAGCTCCCGACCAGTCTCCAGCCAATATAATTTTATGTAGGTAATAATAATAAATATTGTGAATCAAATTATGAAAATAAATGTACGAGGTCAGAGATATAAGAAAAACATTATATCATGGGGTTTAGTATTTTTATTTTTGGTATTAGTATTATCATTAAACATTATGTGGTTTAATATTCTATCTGCAATAACTACATGTGGTACTAATGAACTTATGTACTCCGTGGTACTAATGTTCTTTCTTTCATTATTTCATACTAATGTTTTTAATGACAGCGTTTGAAATAAAATAATCTTTATTCTGAAAATGTGTGTTCATCTCAACTAATACTAGCTATTTTAGATTGTAACGCCTATTTTGGCCTTTGAAGAACTTATTTTAGTCATTCAAATGGGATCGCAATAATCCGAAATCTAGTTATCAATCCTAAAATCGTTCAATGATTCTGGGAGATTAAAAGTACGTGTAAGTAAATGGGAAGATAGTCAATGCAACTGTGTCAGAGGGATTTCCATCGTATTTATAGAATTGTCTGCGTTATTGTTAAGAAGAAGTTTCTCTTTAAGTCCATGTACGTAATCATCCGTATGTCAGCTTCATTATAAGACTGAGAATGTGTATTACAATATACGCTTCGGTTGCTTGGTCAGTGGCAATGTAGTAGAATCGTTGAGTGTGGCTGTGTAAAATCCATAGTTTCGGTGGAAACGCAGTTTGTGGTGTAAGTTTGACACTTACTTCAAAGGGAAGAAAATTGTTAATTTATAACCACTTGATTAAATATATCCATCAACAGAGTAATAAAAGGGTGATACTATGGCATCATAAAATAAATTACTAATACAAATCAACGACGAGACCCTCTTAATCACCTGCAACCTGTCAAGTTCAGGTATTCGATGGTGTCGTTCTCCAAGAAGAGCTCCGTCAGGTGGCACGCCGAATCGAACGTAAGCCAGTTCTCTTCGAGATCCAGACGCTTCACGTACTTGTTCTTGGAGAGCGCCTCTGTCATGGGGCGCACCCCTCTGGGGTCCAATCCGTAGTACTGCAATGTCCAAGAAATCACCTCAGGTGACAGTCGTTTCGACATGTAATTGCTAATAATATGCCGAATAAATAAAATTACTTCTGGATGCAAATGTGAATGTAAAATTTCATGAATGTAAATTTTGTTGAACTACTTCTTTTTCGAGCAGCACGAATTTTAAAAACTGTAACAGTTTCAATAAAATATCAAATTAAATAAATTTTCTGTATTACTTAGTATCGTTTCCACCAAAATTGGAAAACACATGAATTAGAAGGTTAAATACCTACCAAACGTTTTTTTACAAACATACTGAAACTGTGTTTATAAGAACTTTAAATGACCTTACCAATTATCTCCCCTCCGCAGGAGGAATTTTGTTTAGGGATCCAATAGGCTTAAAATAAATAAAAGTAATTTATTATGCAAGGTGATAAAGAGGTACATCTGTTGAAAGGAATGTATTACAACACGAGAGCAGGTATCTTTATAGAGTAGCTAAAGTATATTTATCGTTATGTGTAATATTTGACTTCATTTTATTCCAGCTTTTAGTAAAATTAAAAATTAAAAATGTTCAATTCGTCAACATATAGTTTGCTGCGCCATCGCCCAGAAAAGTAGATAAAAATGTATCGACCATAAGTGATAAAGAGATACTGTAGCAGATTATTTTTCGCCGTTAAGAAACGCCTTTAACCTTATGAATAAAATAAATTATTAACTAAGGGGGAAAACCTCACATACGCTGCATTACGTAAGAGTAACTACCAAGGTGTTAGATTGTGTCAGATTCTTTGCGTTATTGCTTCTGTAATAATATTGTTTTACTCGCACCTATTACTTTTTGCTTGTTCAATTTCGTTGAAAAGTCTCATGGAAGTTTTCAATTACATGGAATGAGATCAAATGATAAAAATACGGAATCTTTATAATGTGAATTCAAAACAGTATTAAAACCTTATATAATGGTCTATTTATAGTTCTTCAGAATCTTGTTTAGGTGCGCCGAATGACATTCATAATTGTTTTGTTTACCTTTGAAATTTTGAAATAATATGCGAGACTGTTTGAAACAGTGAATCGTTGAAGCAACATCAATATTTGTATCATGGTGTGCCTAATACCAATAATACAATTCAAACCTGTAAAACATTAGGTTTCTATATCACAACTGTAAAACATCCATTTACATCTACATATATATAAAAAATGTGTTAACATCTAAGACTATTTCATGAATGTAAAAAGCGTTTATAAAAATATAACCCACACTTTTCGATGATTTTTTGCTGAGATAAATGCAGACGTAGCAACAGGACCTAAATGTTCTGACCACACCCCTGCTGAAAAAGCCCTGGCCGCGAGCGTCTGGCCTACCCGGAAGCTGGCGGTGCTGGTGCGGAGCTGCCGGATGAATTGCTGCGAGGGGACCACGTCCAGCTGCTTGCACATGTAGCGATAGTGGCGCTCGCCGCCGTCGTCACGGAAGTCCGTCGGCTTGCCTGCAAGCGCAGTCCCAAAGACCTCTTCAGCAAGGCGTCGCTGCGAAAATTCGCTGAGATTGAGAAGTGGATGTACGTACTAATTCGTTCGTAAAATCGTTTCAACATGTAATTCCTAATAATATACCGAATAAATGAAATTACTTCTGGATGCAAAACACAACCATCTCGATCGTGTTTTCACATATAAACGAATAAATTAATATTTAGGGGAAAATTCTATACACTGAATTAATTTCTCTCTTTCTATCTTCGAGACACATTGAAACATGGTAGTAAACAACAATTTCAAAAATTCGTACTGTGTGAACGAAATGCAGATAGAGAGTATTGATTTTTGAGAAATAACTGAAAGTCAGTGAAACTATCCACATAACACAATTGATTAAACAGCTAAGGCATCAAAGACGAGTGTACAGCAGGTGAAAAGAAGGTCATATTCTTGATATTATAAAAACTAAAATGTTTCACAAAAATTACTTACCTTTATATTTGCTCAAATAAATCGGTGCAATAATATATTTTGTACATGTAGATTTCTACTTAGAGAAAGCCAAATTGGTTGCCTTCAAAAGGTACCTACTTCGTAGCTCGCAGCAAGCAAACCGACTGGGACTGCTTACAACAGTTACTCTCAAGCCATGTAAAATTTGTTTCAGACAAACAGAATGACAAATGATGCAGTATGTTTTCTTAGATAGAGTAGAAATAGATTTCAAAAAGAACGACAGATTTTATTTAAGGTTCCTGAAGAAGAGGAAAAGTAGTTCTTGAAACGTTGACATATGAAAAAGCTTCAAAATTAAGAGAACATTTCAATAAATGTTTCAAACTAAATATGTTTTTCGATTAATTTGTTTTTGGTTTCAATACGTATATGACTCTCTAAAATAAATCTGGACTAAAATTGTACATTATGAAATGATGGGATCACACGAGTGTGATATTACGATATGAGCGAGGAACGAGGGGTATCGCTAATTTCACACGAGTGTACACATTACATCGAGTTTCATACGGTACTTTTTCTACATCTTATGGTAACTTTTATTAGATCTTTAACATTGAATAGTTTCGTGGTAGTTGACATGCAGTATTCTGCCAATGCCATCTAGCTGAGACCTCCTTACCCTACACCAGGTACTTTGGTTTACCACTGCGCTAGTCAAATAGGATAAAAGTGAAATTAAGGTTCTATTTATTTTAAATAATATTTCGCGTAAAAAATACTACTAATAAAATAAATTAAAACTGACAAGCGTACCATGCACCACAATTAAATGCAATTTTAATCGTACTCATACGAAACATTTACTTGAACGATTGTCAATGAGCAGTTGTCAACACCTGGTTTGTAAAACTTCTCTGTGATTGGTCAAGAACACGTGTCATAATGAAATCTGTATCGTAAAACGTAGCATTATGCACCGGGTTACAGTCATCAACTGACAGAATCATACAATGGGAGTAGAAAAAATCTAAAAACAAATGAAGTGTGTTGTACAGTGGAAATGCTGGAAGAGTGTCCGGTGCTCACCTCCAAGAGCGTTGAAGGCAGCCTCGTTGCCCGGGTCAGAGATAGAGGAGTGGCCCGAAACATCCGACAGTCGGTCTTCATCCTTCATCTTATCCGACTCCTTATACATCTGCAACCACAAGCCCCCACACACTTCTTTCGCACGATCCTTTTCGGCTTCCGAGCAACTACGTCTCCCATTGCGGTTGCTGCCACGTGAACATGAAAAGTCAATTTACAAGATGGACTTCAGCGGCGCTGCTGATGTAAAATCGATCTCGTCTCCTAAAGTAAAGTATCGTCTGTTCAACATATGCTGTTGCATAGGTATATCGTACGGGAATTTGTGTGACATTCATTGTGTAATAATTGTTAATAAAATGAGACGTAGGTGCTCACTCTTTTCAAGTATTTCAAATATTGCAGGGACAGATTAAAACAAACTGCTGAAATGAATTTCGAAATGAAAACACAAGCAATATTTTGAAATTAAGTCAAAAACGTAAAAAAAATTAACTTTTTATTTATTGTGAATATTTCTTCTCTACTCTCAATTTCACTATTAAGTTCTCCATAATATTATTTTCTTTCATAGTTATTAAAATTTTTCATCCACGAACCGCTTCCTGATAACACTAATTGTAACAGTCAAGTATAAATTTGAAAATATCAAGTTAATTGCGAATTTTTATGATGATTTGTTATTCCTTGTATGGGTCACAAAACATAATACGAAACCGTTTCTCTCATCAAATTGTTATTTACCGCGTCCGTGAAAGTTGCATCAACTTGCAATTTTATACATAGTGATATGTATAATAACACGAAAAAGTGCACAATGTACATATATTTAGAACAAAAGCAGCAAGAGGAAAAGGAAAGAGATGTTCTTCGTCGAAGAGAGGAATTGTATAAGCAGGCCGAGTAAAATAAAAATAAACGGGATAAGATTATGCTGCGAGTCCAGGAGAAAAGAAACTCAATAGTGACAGACAGGTTGTTACCCGGCCTGACCAAAATATCGAACATTAATGAGAAAACCTTTTAAGTAGTTTATATTCTTCTCTTTAATTGTAATGCTATATGTTTCAGCCAACATCTCACTCATTTTTGTCGTGATAAGCGGATGAAATCACATGGTGTTAATCTTCAAGACAATGCACCTGTGCTTATTATTCAGATTGCAAAGAATGGTGTGAAGGAATAAGGCTTCAAGGAGTTGGAACATTCTTACTACAGTTGAGATTGGGCACCCAAGGACGTCTATCACGTCTCAGAACTGAAGAAAACCTGGGGAAGAAAAATTTCATACGAGTGTGAAGTAAAAGAAGCAGTTCTGATCATTTTGCGAACAAATATTCGGAGTAATTTTTCAAAGACCTAGAAATGTTAATATACAGATATGAAAAGTGGGTAGAAGTAACAGATTATTAAGTTGGAAAAAATTGTGCCACCCCTTTAACTTCTAAACGGTTCACGATATCGGAATGTAGTTTTCGTTCAGCAATGCTGAATCATGTAGCAAGTAATAAATCGTAGAGATATTGTTTGAAATATTTTTTAGTTTTCGAAAAATTAAATCGTCTTTCATTTTTTAAAGGAAATTATATGTTTTAACGCCAACTATGGGTATCTCATAAAAAGAGGAATCCAATGATGCATCATATATTAGTGTATTGATATAAATTTGAATATAAAAACAGATTTTCTGAGATGTGATTTTAAATTAAACAGACAATATGGCCTCAAAGGCCACAACTAAAACCTTTAATATGGTTGCGGATCGTATTTTCGTGACCTAGTATTGTTGATCTCGGCAGTTTGCCCGGCTGCTCTGAGACGGGCAGGGGGGGAGGAACCATGTCACCAATAGGGCGCGTGCGCTAGACCAAATATTCTCGCCCAACATGGATGCCAAGGACTTTCACGTTTGTCTAATAGCGGACAATAAATGTCTCCGCGGTGCGCATGCGTCCGGGGACCGCAGATGGACACCCCTACTCAAGAAGATTAGCACGCACTTCACTCATTTAACCGAGCCCAATTGCAGTACCGAGGCGTCGATGAGGCTGGTGTCCGGGAAGGGGATGATGTAGCGCAGGCCCAGCGGTTTGCGCGTCTCGCGCTCGTAGGGCGACGTGTCCACCATGAGGGCGTCGCCCTCCACCGCGTCCAGGTTCACCACCTGCAGCTCCTCCTCCGACGAGGACGACGACGACCAGTCCTCCTCGTCCTCGAACGGGTTGCGCCACTTCTCCTGCTCGGAATACATTTTCAAACTTGCAAGGCATAAAGATTCGAAAATTATCTCTTTTTGGACATGAAAAGGCAATTTCATATAAGAATGAAATTCTTGACCCTGATTAGTATGTCACTCATCATGCATGTTAGCCAAGAAAACGAAATCGGAATATGTGAAAACGTGATCTGTAAAGGGCGTAGTTTTATTTTGTATATTATCACACAATCATACACTAATTCTATTATTTACACATTTTTTGGATTTTGGATCACGCAAATATCAGGTTTGCCAACAAGAATTTCGTCTGGAAACAGTTTTCTAAGCAAAAAAAGTGTAAAAATCTCGAGTTTTTTTTTTTTTTTCAAAATAACTCAGAAGCTATAAATTATTATTAGAGCACCATTCGTGGTGACGCACCTCCTTGAACTTCTTGACGCGGATGGTCTCGTGCTTCCAGTCGAAGACGGGCCGCACCTCGCCCACCACCGCCTTCTCGACGAGGCGCGCCAGGGCGTCGCGGGCGGCCTCGCGCGCGCTGTCGCGCCGGAAGGGCGGCACGCGCGCCCATAGCCCGAACTCCTCCTCCTCCTTGGACTGCGTGCGGTACACCTGCGGCGGGGGCTTCTCCACCTGCCGCACACGAGGACAGCGCCTGCACGGCCTCATCTCCACCTGACCTATCTCTGGTAGGGTGTGCCGGCTGCGGTGAAAACACTGTTGCCTCGGCAGTATCGATGCCTCGGCAGTATCGATGCCTCGGCAGTATCGATGCCTCGGCAGTATCGA